GGCTTCCGGATGTCGAGAAGCCGAAAAATGACAGGTAGTTTTCTATTATCAATTATTTTAAGGCATTAAATTAACTTGGTTTCAACCCTAAAATCATTAAAAACTTAATCGCAAATCCTAATTCATTCTTTACGACCATTAAAAAAATACAGAATTTTACTAAATGAGATGCGCTATAAGAGTTCAGTGAGGTCTAAAGACCACTCTTTACCGTCATTCTTGAATCCCTCAAGGCGTCTATATTATTTTTGAAACTAAATAAAGTGTGTCATATAAAATTGGGCATGAGGAAAAAAGCCGAAGTATTGTCTCCACTCAAATTTCCGATAACTCAAATATTGGTGAAACATTATTTTTCATCCTTTTTTTAAAGCCGAACTTACTCGACTTTACGGTTTTTATTAGTTGTTAATAGTTTTTTTAAATATATCTCCTTATATTAATTCTAAAACCAAAAGCTAAGAAAAAATTTAAGCACGTTCGGAAAAAATATTTAACGAAAAGAATGTTTCAGCCAGTGACTACTGCAGGCCCACCTCGTCGACTATATCACATTTTCGTATTTTTAGGAGGAATTTTCGGGAAATGCACCTTTTTAGGTTTCTTCAAGTTGTTTGGAATAAAGTTAGCAAAATAACGTGGCACAGAACAATAACAAAAAAGAACAAATTAAATTCGTTTATCGTGCACAACAAGTATACGGTAGAAAAGGAGAGGTAGGGTTGATTTGATAGTTCTTCGTTCCGAGCCTCCTTCCATTAATGCGTCACTGCGGCGGGAGGGCACCGTTCGGATTCTGGAACGCCGGCGGCTGCTTCAGCTTCTAGAAAAATGGGGTTCTGGTCTGTTAGCGGGGGGGGGGGCGGTAGCGGAGAGAAAAATTAGAGTGTGCTAGCGTATCTTCTCGCTTTTCTGGGAGCTTTCGCATTATCGGGGGGGCTACTTTTTATTTAGGATCTGGGTTTTGAATATACAAATAGGGGAGACGTTTCTAATCTGTTTTTATGATTCCTCAACGTAAAAACCATGGTAAATTTTATTAAAAAATACAAAAATATCGATTTTCGATTAAAAAATGGCCTTTTCGACCAAATTTTCAAATGTTTAAAAAGGGACAGTTTTCCATTTTAAATCTGGCCAAATTTTACTGGAAAAAACTATTAAAATATTTGTTATAACGTTTTTGATACTAGGCGTTTCTGAACCAATAAAAAAATTAGCCCCCTGGCCACGGTTTACTTTACCCCCCACCCCCCAGCCGGAAGTTTTTGGCTATAACTTTTTTATTTTACATTATTGTAGGCCCAAATTAAAACTCTTAGCATATTTTTCGACGCTCTATCGAATGGCGTTGCAAACATCCCGACAAAATAAGCGAAAATACCGACAACTTTGAGACCCTTCGGCTGTGGGGGGAAGTAAACTCTTACCGTAATAATCGTTTTTAGTAAACTAAACAAGAAGAAAAAAGCCATTGGCCCACCAAGGAAAAAATTGTTTTCAAAATTTATAAAACATCTTTTATTAATCTTTTTATTTATTTCCGAATGATTGATTGATTTTGAATGGAATACTTAAATCTAGTAGAAAATGCAAAAATTTCAAGCCAATACCTCCATATACGGGTCGAAAAATCCCTTGGCATATCCGTAGCCCAAGACACCGGCCACGCCCATCAGGAACACCACCGTGAAGAAGCCCATCGAGCAGAGGAAATGAGCAATTTAACGTTTTCATCCGTCCGGATGCTATTTTATGTATCATGGGAAAGCTAATTTTTGTTTTTCGCCTACATAATTACTGATATCGTCCCAGTGAGGCCCCCCAGTGAGTGCTCGCTGCGCCCCGCCCCCTGGTCGTTACGACGCCCGTCTGGCCCACCCGTCGACCATTTCCGGTGCCCACTCACGGCTTCTGCATCGCTTCTGGCCTTTGGCTAAGATCAATTTGTAGAAACAGTTCTTATCGGCTTAATCTCCGATACACATCCCATGTGGATGTATAGAGATTAAATATTTTTGGGATCGGTTCGGTTCGCAGAAGCTTGCTTCTCGCCGGACGGCGTCGACCCGGTATTGCACTTACCGCGGGGAACGGCGCACACCCCACAAGGGGTGAACTCACTACAAAAGCAACATCATTACGATACGCGTATTATACGTTATTACAACCTAAAGGTCCGTCTACCTAGGATTTATAAGGTCTATGTTTTGAAGGCGCATTGCAGTGGAACACGGGCACGGCTTGAACTTGGGCAGACGGTACAAATTGACGGTCGACGCATCCTTCTCGCTTCTGGATCTGTCGGCTTGCATCAGGAAGGGTCTACGAGCAGAGGCCAGTACAGAGAGCCATGACGATGGCTGTGAACCGGTCACAGCACCGGCTACGACGACAGGTCAAACACTCGAACAATCCAGGAACAGTCCGGTCTTGTGTCTTCGGGCAGCTTGTAGATGAAGGCGCATTGCAGAGCTTGTGGGCAGGCCCGTACGGGAGCCGAGATTTCGGGGGGGGCACCCACCCAAAAAATTTTTGGCGACCTCCCCCCCCCGGTCGCCACTTTCAAAACATTCGAAAATAGCGACAATAACAGCGCCGCAGGCGAAAAAATCGAAAAAAAAACCGCGTTGGAAACGCTTAAATTCGTGTGAAAACACATCGGAAACGGCGCGCGCAAGCGAAATTTTGCTCAGCAAAATGGTGCACTAATGAAAACGGGCGCCGCAGGCAAAAAATTTTAGGAAAATGGGTTTTTTAGAAGTAAAAATCATTTCAAAACAGTGATAAGTTTTTTTTTAATTTTTGAGGAAAAATCCTAAGGGTTCCCCCGGTAACTTTTGCCTCGCCCCATAGATTTTGCCTCTGAAAGGTTTCGCTATTTTCGCCATTTTGATCGGGATTTTTAAACGCCATTCGATAGAGCGTCAAAAATATACGAAGAGTTTTAATTTAAGCCTACAATAATGTAAAATAAGGCTCGCAGGCAAAATGCTTACAAACAAAACTGATACATTCCCGAAAAACTAGTGCTGCAAGCAAAAATTTTTGGAAAAATAGGTTTTATTGCACTTTAAATTGTTTTAAAAACAATAATAAATAGCGCCGCAGGCAGAAAAATTTTTAGGAAAAAAAAATCATAAGGGTCCCCCCTTATGAACTTTTCGGACCTCGCCCGATTTCGGGGGGGGCACCGTGCCCCCGGTGCCCCCCCCCCCCCCCCCCTCGTACGGGCCTGCTTGTGGGTGAAGGCGCATTGCAGTGGAACACGGGCACGGCTTGAGCTTGGGCAGACGGTACAAATTGACGGTCGACGCATCCTTCTCGCTTCTGGATTCGGACAAACAAATAAAGAACTTTATCAACATTAGTACGGCCCTCCTCTTCCACCTTCGGGCTAACAACAACATTTAAAGGCCTCGGCAATTAGGACAAAGGAACGGCACGCCGGCCTGTAGGTACCGGCACCACTCCTTCCTCACCACGCCGACACAGGCTACTACACACATTGATCTTAGCCAGGGGCCAAAAGCGATACCGGCTTCATCAGTTGGTGTCTCATATCCGGTTGGAGTGGGCCAGGCGGGGGGCGGGGCGAGACGGGGCCCGGGACGGGGCATGCAGGAGAGATCGGGTCAGGAGGGGTCTTCCGGCCCTTTTGGGTGACTGGGGCAGTACTGCCGATTGGAAATTACGATTCAACTATATAAAATTAGTATCGTTTAGTCTAATTTAGATTATAGGGTTAATCGACCCCCTAGGAGACATCTGGACGATATCTGGTTCGGGGGCTGGGACACCCCCCTTTGAGGGAGGCCTGGATGATAAGGATTGAGGGGGAGGGGGATAGGCATGAAATGCTATTAAAAAACCGAAACCGGCGCATATTGGCTATATCATAGGCAGACGCACATCACGTTTCTGCATCGAATGGTGTATCGCTTGATATGCGCCGACTTCTCTAAAAATTAGTTTTATCCGCTTTTATGTGTGAAGGTCAAGCTCAAGCTCCTGGAACGGCTCCAACACCATCTTGGTGCACAAGAAAGGCCCGAAGGATGACGTCTCCAACTGGAGGCTAGAGATGTTTTTATTCAGATACGATATGGGAAATTTTGCATTAAGGCAATTTGCATATCGTATCTAGGTTCTAGCCGGGGCAATCGAGACACGATTATCGCATCTGGGATCGGCGAGGCTCGACCCAGATACGATATATCGGAATAACATTTGCATATCGGAATAGGCAGAAAATCCGTTATTCTCGTGAATACGTGTTTCGTACGGTCAGTCTGCATAAAAAAAAGCATACGGTTAGGCGTTTCCGAGACAAGATTCTGCCATTTGCATCTGTTTTTATCGCCTACTGAGCGCCCCAATTTCCCTTAATCCGATATTCAAAAGTTATTCCGATAGTATCGTATCTCGGTGAGTCGGATTCCAATTCAGATGCGATTATCTATATAGCATCTAGGATTTTCGAATCCCGATGGCTTATTCAGATGCGATATATCTGGATGCATATCGCATCTGAATAAAAACATCTCTAGTATGCATTGGTAATAGCTATGCCAAAACTAATGTAACGTAGCGCCGATAGGACGAATCACCTACATAATGCCGAGTTACAGAATCCCTTTGGCGTTATTATCAAGGGCAGAAAAAATAGATTTACAAAATCTATAGAATGATTTCTGTAAATCCGCATTCTGAGAATCGGTATTCTGTAGATTAAATATGTTTTACTGTTTACACGTTACTTCAATTTGCTTCATATTACTTTTCAGGATAGTTTTCAAGTTCTAGAAATTTTCTAATTCGACTTGCTGCCTTTTGAATTCCCGGCCCCATTCCGGGGCTACAAACTACATCTATGGATCCGCTCCCCCAACCACTTTTCGTTTCGTAAAGCCCGTCCGCTTTTGGCACTTTTTTTATAGGTTTTTCATTGTTTTTCTTAGCTTTATTAGCATATATACCTTTTAAAACCTATTTTTCAGATGGCGGACCCACTGCAAGTGTTGCGTGAATACGCGCAAGGGCGGCGCACCTTCAAGGAGATTGTTCAGGTTGGAATTGGCGGTCTTTAACTTTTTATTCAATGTTAGGGCAACGACACATACTACCTGTTCGACGACATTGCCTACGACAAAAACGCCAAGACAAGCCTCACAATTTATGGTTGGTTTCTATGTTTCGCTTAGTTTTATTGGTTAGTGCATTCAATTTATGGGTTTTCTTGCTAAAAGCACGCAATATAGTAGTCTTTCTTACTAAATAAAGTACAGTAAAGTATAAAAGTATTTATCCTTTTTCAGGCCGCACCGATGACTACTACACGCTGGAGTCGCTGTACTTCATCTGGGAACGTCGCGACATCCCCCATCCAGCCTACGTGAAGGAGGCGGCCGGGAAGTCAATCCGAGCCGTCGGGCGTCCCGATCGGTTTGTTATGATGCTTCTTATTATTATTAGTTATTTTACGCATTTTTAGTGTATGTAGGTTCCGCAGGGTGGAAAGAAGAAAGTTAACTTTTTCGTCATTTTATCGAGGTTTTTGGAGCGCCATTCAATAGGGCAGCGACAAATCAAACTAAGAATTTTAATTTTAGTGAAAAATAACTGAATATAAAATAGTTATAGCAAAAATAAAATTTGATAAATTCTGTTCTTTCTAGACGTGACCTGCTCGACTACCTGCGTGGCGATCGCCAAGAAGTGCCCACCAATTTCGATCGTCTCGCTCAGACTGCGCCTCCGATCCCGGCCTCCAGATTTCAAGTAAAGCCATTTCTTAGTCACATGTTTTTTCCTAGGAATTCGAACCGGAGCGCAAACGCGCCAAGCTCGACCCCAGCGCCGAGGCAACAGTGCAACGAGAGGTTGGATTTGTCGAATTTTCAAAATATTGCAATTTTAGGCCGGATCTGCGACGCCTGCCGTTGATGAGTCGAATCTGCGCGCGCTCAGCGATAACTTGACGGCCGACAAGGTAAGGAAATAGAACTTGGCTTTTTTTATCCAATTATGGTGATTAAATAATATTTTGTTTAGATCGCCGCCCTCCGAAAGAAGAAGGCCAACCATCAGAAGCGCACCACGGTCCTCGATGATATGTGAGTTTTGTGACTATATTTGTCGAGTCGTATTTTTCTAGGGACATCACAACCGGCGAGGCCGTCCCCCCGGCCCGCTTCTGATATTCGGGTATGGTTTTAAGCAGACATGGCAAAACGGCCGCCGCGGCCGGCCGGAAGCCGCATGCAAATTTTTTTCACGGCCGGGGCCGGCCGCAAAGCCGCAAAAATTACCCACAGCCGCAGCCGGGCCGGGCCGCAAAAACGTCCTCGGGCCGCAGCCGGCCGCGGCTTTTGCAATGAACTGCTCGTTGCCTTTTTCCTTTTCAGAAATCATGCAAATCAGTAAAATTCAACTCGAAATCCTAAAAATAGGTCATTATTTTCGCCATGGTGCAGCCGCGGCCGGCCAGACTCTTTTTTGGAGACGGCCGCGGTGGCCGGGATTTATGCTAATTTCATATGCGGCCGGCCGCGGCCGGCCATGGGTAGCTACGGCCGGGCCGGCCGGGCCGGGCCGCGGCCACTTGCCATGTCTGGTTTTAAGTTTATTTTCTTCTTGTTTTTGCTTGGATTACAAAAACGATGCCTTTCGTTTCCCCCACCTTTCTTCGGCTATGTTTAGATGGCGTTTTGAACCATTTTTGAATAGGAAAACTCAGAAATTCGTAATTAACGACCGATTTTATGCCGAAAATCAATTTGGTTGGACAAAAATAGCCGATTTTTCGAAAATGGCACTTTTGCCGAGAGTTTTTGCTTAGATTGTTGTTGAATTTTTCAAAATCTCGTCTAAAAATAGTTTATTTGATTACCAGACCATCTTGGATGCATGGACATTGTCCAAGTGCACGAAAATAGCTCGAGAATCTTTCTAATTATCTCTTTAATATTTTGTTTAGTCTAATTAAATTTTTTAGAAAGTGGAACGCGTCTGGCACACGCGAAGCAACTGCATGGAGAGCTTGGCCAGGGGCAGCAATTTCTCCTTCGTCCTCCAGATGATCCAGGGCTTGAAGGTTAAACCATTTTCAATTTCGTAAACCTGATTTTAGACCCGCGAAGAGACGGAGGCACGCAACAAGGCACTCGGCGGCCAGCAGCAAAAGATGGTAATAATTGCGAGTTTTTTTCGAGAATTTTGTTTAGGACCCGAATCGGGGGAAGAAGAACCAGCTCGGCTATTCCCGTTACGACCAGGAGCAGTTTGACAAGTGAGTTCTAGTTGCTTTAGGACTTGAAAGGAAGTCTGCATTTTATCAAAAATTGAAAAAGAATTGTGCCCGCCGGCATCTATGCTTTGCGTCCCAAATTGGACCGTGTAATCGAATACACCACAAGAACGTTGCCTTGCCGGTTTTCGGTGTAGATAAGACTTTCAAATAAACAAAAAATCATTACTTTTCAAAATAGGAGATTTTAGCTTTTGCCTAAAATAAATAAAAATTTCATTGAGTTGACGATCGCAACTACATCTTTTTACAGGAACGACCACGACTTCGGCGCTGAGATGACGTTCGTCGGCACCAACATGAAAACATCCCCCGAGAAGAGACCCTTGGCTGGAGGTACGTTTTTTGGTCAAATATTATTTTGCGGTCATTTTCGTATTTTTAAATATTTTTCAGGTCCCGCGAATCGTGGCCCGCTCACCCAGTCACAACCATCGGTTTCTTCAACGGACAAGTAAGGGATTTTTCGCTATTTGTTCGGGTTCTGGACTACTAGCGGGGGTGGAATCCTTTTTTCTTATATTCAGATCTACGAAAACGTGTCGAAAATTCCAATTGCAATTTTTTTCGCGGATTTTAAGAGTTAGATAAAAACTAGCTTCTTGCCTTTGCTAAAATTTTTCGCCCCTAACCGTCGTGAAACCCAAATTTTCGACGTTCAATTTAACTTTATTAATTTCTCTTTTCCAGCGGTGCCCCGAAGAAGCGGACGCAACGCACGCCGATCATCATCATCCCCGCGTCAACGAACCAGCACTCGATCATCTCGATGTACAACGTCCGCGACATCTTGCAGGTATTTTTCGCCCTGATTTGTGTTTTGATGCCCCGCCAATCCGTTACGCGATGAAAAGCTTGCGGTTGGGCTTTCCCCGATCTATTTGAGCTTTCACGCTCCTTTATGCGCCCGTTTTATTCTCCCGTTTTCTATGAAAAATCAGATTTTACTATAAAGTATCGGCTAGTTTCATCGCGGAATCGGTTGTTGAATTGCCGATTTTTGATGACATAAGGCGTAAATGTAATTTTTCTTGATTTCAGGAGCTCAGCTTCACCGCTGAGGACGTGCGCAAGCAGCAGGGAAAGCGGGAAAATGAGGTAAGCTTTTCATAAGCTACAATTCTTGATTTTTGTGATCTATTGCGTCCGCTGTTTTTCCTCCTATCTCTCTCTTTCTCTCTCTCTCTCTCTCTCTCTCTCTCTCTCTCTCTCTCTGTCTCTCTCGCGTTCGATGATTCTCATTTACCCATTTTTTTCAGGTATTGATCCAACGAAGAAAGGGCGGTCAAACAGTCCCCTACCGCGTCGTCGACACCCCACAACGGCTCACCAGCGAGGAATGGGACCGAGTGGTCGCCGTTTTTGCATTGGTAAGCTGTAATTTACCTTTATTTTTACTAATATTCAAATTCCAGGGTCCGACTTGGCAATTCAAAGGCTGGCCCCGATGGAACGGCAACCCCACCGAGATCTTTAACAATGTAATTTTGAAATTTTCTTGATTTTGCTTGGATTTTTTAGGTGGCTGGCTTCCATCTGGCCTATGACAACGTGCCCGTCGAGCCGAATGTCGCCAAGTGGTCGGTAAGTGATTTTCAATTTTTTTATTATCGACGTTTCATTTTATTAATTAATCATTTTTGTGTGGACTGTTTTTGCCATTTAATTCAAAAATTTTTGATCATATATTTTTGCCAAAACGGTTTTTCAAGAAATATTTCTAGCTTTTTATTTCATGTTTAAAAACTACTAAAAATTCGACTAGCTATGAACGTATCGTGCATTTAACGAAGTAGGATGGACCTCGAAAAAATTTCGTTTTAATTTTCATTTTAATGCAGTTTTTAATTTTTGATTCAGTTATTAAAATCAAATATTTATGAAAGATGCAAAGTTACGCATAAGCTATAGTTTAAAAATGTATCGTTTCTAATTTAGTGTAGCCTTTTAATATTTATTTGCTAACTTAAATTTATGGCGTTAAAACTTTTTTTTTCAGGTAAAAGTGCTGGCCCTGTCTCGCGACAAGCGCCATCTTGACCGTGCCCGTCTTCAGGTCTTCTGGGACCTCCTCGACCGCCACATCGCCAAGGCCAAGCCCCATCTCCGTTTCTAGGCGCTAACACGTGTATTTTGTCAATTTTTGTGAATGGCTATTTGCATTAGTCCCTTTCGGCGGCTCTCCTTTTTTTGTTATCTTTTCTCTCCATTTCTAGCTCTCTCTCCCTTTCTCTAGCTCTCTCACCCTCATTTCTCTAGCTCTCACACCCTTATTTCTCTCTCCCTCCTCTTCTCCCAATTATTCCCACTCCAAATACGGGCCATTACTATTTCCCCTTAATTGATATATTGCTGTTGCCCTCCCCCGCTATTAGCACAGTTCTTAACGTTCTCTTTGTATTTCGCCAGTGTGTGATGAACTATCGATGATGATATATATTTTTGTAATATTGAATACAGTATCTCGCCCCTAATGGATTATTATAGCCGGCTGGATTCTTGATGGAGTGGTGGCAGGTCGGTGGGTTGGCCGAGCGAATCGGCGAAGAATTTCTGAACTTACGAGGGTTTAGATAGATCGCGTCGAGAGCTAGCAGTTCAGTCAGACCAGCATGCTAGCAGCAATCGTTTTGGAATGTGAGAAAAAGTGAGGGAAAGATAGAAAGAGAACGAGCGAGAGAGAGAGAGAGAGAGGGAAACAGATCTCGAGTGAGAGAGAAGCAGAGCGAGCGCGAGAGAGAGTGAGTGTGAGTGGGGGAGAGCGAGAGATTTTCACATACCTTACTGCGCTCCCAAACGCCCTGCTGGCTTTTACAGTGCGTGTACGGATCCTCGCAGCCGTACTTTTGGAAACCGTCTGGAAAATTGCGCATTTTTGAATACACAAAACCACTTGACAATAATTGTGCTTTTGGTTGGTACCTTGCCGTAAACAACCGCAAAATTTTTTTGGAAATTGGGGCTGATAGATACGTCGTTTTTCCACCGTGTGGTGGCAATAACGTACTTATAAATCCGGAATAGATGTAGTGCATATGGGGCAGAGAGGTGGCTTCGATGAGGTGTCCTCCTCGAACTTCGTCCACCTCGGCGTAGAAACCTAAATTTTTTAGGAAGGAAGTTGATGTTTCAAAAATTTTCTGCTATCGATAAGACGCGAGGATCATAATGCGGTTATTGTTACGTCGTAAAATGTTAGCCATCTTAAGTTTTGATATTTTCAACTACTGTTTTTTAAACGCTTTTTTTAAAGCAATAAGCTTAACATACGAGTTAAAAAACATTTAAAGTGGTCAATTTTATGATTTTGCTTTGAAGTTGTTGAGTTAAAAATTTTCTTTACTATTTCATAAAGATAGGCATAGGTACCTAATTGTTTAACCCGCTGCTCCAGAATTCTGGCCGATTTTACGGCCGGCGTCGTCAGATCGTCGATGGCCGCCTGGAAAGAGGTATTTTTTTTAGGGATATGCTAGCTTAAAGAAGCGATTTTCGTAAAAATTTGTCGTAATTAACAATATGTTTCAAAGTGTATTCTTATAAAACCAGCCGATTACAGCCGCTTCGCGACTGCAATCGGCTGGACTTCGGGCTACCCTCCATATTCTACACCACCACATTTCATCCCTACCTTAGGCTGATGCCTTCATGGCAATACCTACACCGATGGCTTCAGATACCTCCTCTAGCCAACCCCCCGCCCGCCACAAAAACATAGCTACCTCCCCGATGGCTTCAGATCCCTCCCCTAGCCCAAATCCCCTTAAAAAACTACTTTGATACCTTCCTGGTGGCTTCAGATACCCCCCATAGCCGACATCCCCTTCAAAAACTACTTAGATTGCATCCCGATACTTTAAATGATTTAAATAATAAATTAACATAATTAAAAAGTATTAAAAGTATTAAAGTAACTTAAAAAGCTATTTGGGCGCGGGAAGGGGCCTGGGGAAGAGGGGCGAAGGGAAAGGGGGCGTGGCCTCCCGGGAGAGGGGCCCCACTCGTTTTATTAAGGCGCCACTTTCAAAGTTAATTGTAACAATTTAAATTAAAACTTTTTCATAATTTTTTTATCAGTTTGGGGGTTTCTGACCACGCTCTATCCGAATCCGAAGAGAGCTAAGCTCTAGCTCCTTTCCCCTTCGAGTTGAATCCGGGACATGACAGACAGACGGACAGACACCCCTACCTTTTTATTATAGTTGATATTACCAAGGCTATTAATTTACTGCGAATCTGCGCCCGGGAAAATATGAAAGAAAAATATAGAAGGCCCTTGGGCATTATCGGGGGGCGGGGACCATGTTTTCTATGTTTCAGAAATATTTTGTAAAAGAAGAGCTAGTTTTTTATTAATGTTTATTTTTTGTGTATATTCAGCAAATTTGAAAATTTGGGAGAAAATCGGCGATTTTTGCGCAAAACATGACTATTATTTGCATTTTTTTAATAAACATTTGGAAACTTTTTATGTGTAGGAAGTATAACACTGAACTAAACTGAACTTAAAAGTATAAAAATTCGGATTAACCGACCACAAAGCGAAACCTTGTCCCCGGGGCGCATCCGCGAAATCGGAATTCCGATTCCGGGGTCTCGTGCAATTTCTCGGTGGTGGTACGGTAGATGAGGGCCTCGTCCTCGAAATGGTATTCCAGATCCATTGGAAGCCTGCAACAAAAATTAAGAAAATTTCCCAAAAAATAAGAAAAAAATGTTTCACAAATCTGGCTGATCAGGTATTAGTCCTGTTTAATATTGTAATACCGGTTGCTAACATGCATAATTCAGTCATATCCAGAGTATCGCTGCGTAGCTTTTACAGTATTTAGCCATATCATCTTTTTTTCGCGCTATATAAAAAGTATCCTCATGAAAACTCTTCAACTAAATAAAATTGGTTCGCGTACTAATGAAAGAAAATTAAGAAAATCATTTAAGAAACATAAATTTCTTTTCATCACCGTATAAACAAATCAAAAAATTAAAGCTGTGAATTTTTGAAAGACCGTTTAATCGATTAATTACCAGCTTCTTTCCTTCATTAGTCGCCTGGAAAATATTAATCCAATTCAAACAGGCATTAAAACATATTTTCACTTACTCGGCACACGGCATGAATTCTCCGTCAGCGCGTATCCTCGCGTTCGGATCCATCACGTGCAGAGAATTGATGATACAGTAGGCCGAAATCTACAAAAAAACTAATTAAAAGTAAAGCTATTACCAATTTTGATAATCCGATTTTTAAGTTGATTGAATTGCAACAGAATCGGAAATTACCCCCGTGAAGACAAATTATTTTTCCGACTTGCTTATGCCTTTAATTTGCATTTTATTGCTTATCGGATTAAAAATTCCGAAATTGTGCGGGCGCGAAGCCGGTTTTAAAAATGTATGTAGCTGCTATCTGTCATAACTAAGAAAATTTCAACCCTATAATTTAAGCAACATCTGTAATTAAGCGCGATTTAAAGTTTTTTACATTACCGTACCTTGTCAGTCCGATCGGCGACTGCCAAACAAACGACCCCGCCAAACGAGTTGCCCTGCATTCCGATTTTTCCGCAAAACGGCTGCCGCGCCAGCCAATCGATCGCTTTCTAGGTTTTTATTATTATGTATTCGCGCTATTTTTCTATTTATCAGCAAGACTATCAATTAGCATAACCCAGACCAGCGCGGTAACCTTAAGACACGAAACATATTTGCACGCAAATTTTGAAAAGTGTTGAATAGCTCGATTCAACTAGATATCACCATTTACCATCAATATGTTTCGCATAGGGCTCGAATGATTATTAATGAATTTAGCTGCGCCAAAATATTTTAAATTTTCAAAACACAATTTTTAAACCTGGCTGCTTCATCTCTCGTTCGATGCAAAATAAAATAATTTGATTTCCATTAAAAATCCATTCAATTTGCTAATGCTAAAATTATCAATTAAAAGATACATGATAGATATAATCATCCTATCACTGCAATAGTTAACAAAAAGATCAACCTAGAAATTGATTATATTTTTGTTTTTGTTTGTAAAACTATGTTTCATAAAAAAGTTGTAGCTGCGTTTTAAAAATGAACTGATTCGATGATAGGCAAGCCCGTTTACAAAAATAAAAAACATATAAAAAGTTTACCAAAAAATAGTTGACGTCGACGTCCTCGAGGTCGGCAGGTAGATTTTTGTAGCCGAAAAATGGGAGGGCAAGGGTGGCGAAACCTAGAGAAAGTGCACATTATTAAATTAAAATTATGAAACTGTAAAAACTAAAATAAAAATTAGTTAAATCGACTAACGACAGAAAAACTGAATTGAAATTAAAATAAGTTGTCAAATTTAAAGTAGACATCAACGCAGCTTATAAAATTTTTATTAGAATAGAAACTGGACAAAACGGGGCGGGAGGGAATGCCCCTCGAATGCTGGTCTCAAAATATGTATGAAACGACGGTAGGAAAAAACGATTAAATTTAGTAATATTATGATAGCTACTTTGAAATTTTTCATTTTAAAAGCCCTTTGAGAAAATCATGGTCCTCGAACACCAGAACAAAAAGTAAAAGCATAAAATTAATCTAAGGCTCTGTGAAATTACGGTCGAAATCAACCATGAAATTAGGTTTTAAATTTGGTTAAAACAAACGTTAAAAATACCTCTCGATGCCAGTAGGGCACCTCGATGCTGCCGAATGCCTCCACCGGTCCCGCGAAATCGATTACGGTAGGAAATGGGCCCGGGCCTGAAACGGATCTCGGAGTTTTGCAAAAATCAAATGTTTCTGAAAAATATAGATTAAGGCTTGAAGCGGCGACCTTAATGGCGAAATGGTTGGTTACTTCAGGATAAAGGAAGAAAAATCCATAGCTCCTCCAGTCTTATAAATTTCACAGGATTACGGTACTCAACGAAAAACCCATATTTTCTTTGTTATCAAGTAGTCTTTCCTGAATATAACCAACGCCCCGACATTTTTCCAAAAAGTTGTCAAAAGGGTATGTTTCGTTAATTGAACGGGTCGAATCAATCCTCGCCCATATTATTACGTCTCTGAAATGTTGCTTACTGTAAAGTGTTTTTACTCAACTTGGGGGTTTCGATTCGGGAC